TGGCAGAGCCTGCCACTTCCCTCTGTTCCCGGCGCTCTGCAGCCTGTCCGCTGAACAGGGCACGTAGGGGAGCTGTCCTGAGGACGCAGTGGTGGCCCGCGGGGGTGGCCATTGCGGAGGGCTGGCTGTGAGATCTGGTGCTGCTGTCTCTAGGTTGGATTGCCAGACCCAGGCCACGACGCTGGTTCACCAGATCTTTGGCGGCTACCTGCGGTCCCGTGGTGAGTGCTGTCTGCCAGGTCCTGGGGCTGTGACTCTCAGGGCTGCTGTTTCCCCAAGAGCCTTGCAGTAAAAATCTTTTGGGAAAATTGCTAAGCACATGTAAATGATCCGGAGCTGCAGTTGGTCAGTCTTGCGGTACCTGTGGGTCGTGACTCCTGTTATGGCGATGGAAGAAGCTGTTGGCTGTGGGTCCCCAGCTCATTGCCACGAGCAAAGGAACCCGTGTTGCCCGCTATCGAGCAACACCTGCTGTCCCAGCACGTAGTGGAATTGGAATTGCCAGCCTTCCTCCTTGCCTGGCTGTGAATCCTGGTGCTGACATTCCAGAAGCCAAAGCTGGAGAGGGGGAACACTGCAGCTGCCTGTGCTGCGCTGGGGTGGTGGAGGCTGCAGGTGTTGTGCCAGGGTGTGCTCATTGCTCTTTCTTTTGCAGTGAAGTGCTCCGTGTGCAAGAGCGTCTCGGACACCTACGACCCTTACCTGGACCTGGCGCTGGAGATCAGGGTACTGCGGCAGGGCCGGGGATGGGGAGGAGCTCTGCTCTCACGGGGACGTTCCTGCAACTGCACTATTACTGCCCTCAAGGCCCCTTAACCTGCCAGCGTCAAGGCATGGTGCAGGCAAGAGGGAAGCAGCTTCCGTTGTTGCGCTGCCTTCTCTGTCTGGCAGAGCCGTGCCTGGTGCCTGAGCATGAGCTGCGACTCCTCTGCTGAGGCTCCGTGGTGTTGGGGGCGGTGCAGCCCAGCCGTCCCTCGCAGCATGCTGGGCAGTGCCTAGCTGGTAGCAGGCTCACGGATTTGGTGGGGTCTGTGGCCCTGTGCTCACGCTCCATGTTATCTCTTGGGGACAGCATCTCAGCAGGGAGCCGGGCTGTCACATGGACAGGCCGCTTGTGCCCTGACCTCTCCTCTGCCCTTGCAGCAAGCCGCAAACATCGTGCGGGCGCTGGAGCTGTTTGTGAAGTCGGACATGCTGGGCGGGGAGAATGCCTACATGTGTGCCAAGTGAGTGTGTGGGGCTGCGGGCGGGAAGGGGCCCGTGGGTGTGCTGGTGGGAAGCAGGCAGAAAGCCTGACGCAGTACAGGAGGGCTTCTCTACCTGCTCCACGGCTAAACTGTGAGGTACCTGGCCGTGGAAGCCTGCGATGAAGCCTGCCCCTCCTCAGCTCCCTCCCAGCAGATGTGGCTGTGAGCAGGTGCCCTGGAGCGGTGCCTGCTGTCAGCAGGGTCACTTCCATGGGGTTTGCTGCTTGGCCAGGGCTGGCAATCATCTGGGTGGTGGAACAGCTTGTATAGCTCGAGCTCTTCCTGTGCAGATGCAAGAAGAAAGTGCCAGCCAGCAAACGCTTCACCATCCACCGAGCTTCCAATGTTCTCACGCTCTCGCTGAAGCGCTTTGCCAACTTCAGTGGAGGCAAAATCACAAAGGTGAGTGCTCAGCAATCCAGGGCTTGGGCTGTCTCCTGGCCCCCGAGGCCCTGCTGCCCAGAGCAGAGTGGGACGTGGTCCTGTGCACAGCGCGGGCTCTGCCGCAGTCCTGCAGCCCTTCCCCAGCTGTGCGGTGCGGTGGGAGTTTGGCTCATCCTGGCATCCTCCTCACCGTGACCTCTGCCTGGGGAGAGTGGGTCCCCCTCCCTCGGGAGATGGGACCCATAGGACAGTTGAGCTGCTCGTGCTCTAGCAAGAAAGCTGTGCAGGCTCCTGAGGCATCGTCTCTCTGCAGGACGTGGGGTACCCCGAGTTTTTGAACATCCGCCCTTACATGTCCCAGAACAACGGGGATCCTGTCATGTATGGACTCTATGCAGTGCTGGTGCACTCTGGGTACAGCTGCCACGCAGGGCACTACTACTGCTACGTGAAGGTGAGCCCAGGGCGCTCCCTTGGCACCCGCTCTGCGCTGGGGGGTGGTGGGTGCTCGTGGGTCCCTGTAGTGTGCAGAAAGGAGGGTGCTCAGCAGCTGTGCGTGGTGTGGAGCACTGGGTGGGGGGTACAGGCTGTGCTCCACCACAGGAAGCGTGGAGGTCTGCTCCCACAGAGTCCCCTTGCCTGCCCTGGTCCCTGTGTAGGTTTTGGGGAGAGGAGCTCTGCCAACGGGTGCTGTTCCTACTGCTCTTCTGGCCAGGAGGGTCCCTGGACACAGCCCAACCCCATTCTCTCTTCTTCCGCAGGCCAGCAATGGGCAGTGGTATCAAATGAACGATGACCTGGTCCGCTCCAGCAACATCAAAGTGGTCCTCAACCAGCAGGCCTACGTGCTGTTCTACCTGAGGTGAGAGCGCCCTGCTCTCCTGGCCCCTCTGCCCCCTGCTCTCAGCTCTTGGGACTGGGCTGGTAGCGCGCGCCTGGGTGTGGGAAGGAGCTTGGCCCAAGTGGCCCCAATGCCCTCGTGCTTGCTCTGGCTTAGAGGAGGGTGGCAGGGAGAGGTCCAGCCCCTTGTCATGTTTTTGCTGTAGATCAAGAGCACCTCACCTCCTTGGAGCTTCTGGCTCCTGTTTCTTGTGCGCATCTCTGACGAGAGCGTTCCAGTCTCTCAAACCCTTGCGGTTAACATGTGTGCTTCTCTGCCTTCCCCAGGATCCCCAATCCCAGGAAGAGCTCGGAGGGGCCCATTGCCAAAGCTGCCTCCAGCCTGCCCGGCCGCACTGGCAGTGTCTCCGATCAGGTCAAGAAAACTGTGACCAACGGGCCCCTGTCTTCACCGCTGATGGGCCGGGTGAGTCCTGAAGGCTGCTCTTGGTCAGTGCTCCTGGGAGCTGCTGCCCCTCCGCTCTGCGAGGGCGGGTGGGGTGCAGCTTCGCAGGGAGGCAGGCGCGCTGCTCCCAATGGGCAGGGGCGAGGGAGGGCGGTTTGCAGGAAGGATCCTGCTGAGCCCAGGGTTCCTGTGTGGGCCTGGGGAGGGGCAGGGAGGGCAGCATCGCTCTGCGTCCTTGGCTCCTTGAATTCTTTCCTTGCTGAACTTCTCTCTCTCTGTCTAGAGACCAGACACTCTGCCAGTGAAGAAGCTGCCGGGGCCGGAGGAGGTCGGAGTCCCTGTGGCCCGCAGCACATTCGGGACGGGGCCAAAGCTGCCAAATGGAACCGCTCCGCCAAAGCTGCCCGCTGGGTCCCCGTCACCCAAACTGCCCCTCAAAGCCACCCACACGGCCACAGCGCCGCCCAGTGATGCAGCCCGGAGGCCGAAGAAGCTGCTCTCCTTCCCGCAGCTGCCTCCCACGCCCAGAGCAGTCCAGGGCCTCTGCGACACCAGCAATGCAAGTGAGGCCAAAGCAGAGCTGCACCGGCAGAGCTCCTGGGAGAGCAAGCAGCCACCTACCTCACCCAAGCTGCTGCTGGAGCCCAGCCAGGAGCCTGGGGGCAGTGGGGAGAATGCCGGGACCCTGCAGAGGGACTCCTGCGGCAGCAGTGCCGCCAGCCCAGCGCACAGCGTAGCGGGGAAGCTGGCCAAAGTGTCCCAGAAGGCCAAGAGTGGAACCAGCAGCTTCTGTACCTCTCAGGAAACGGACTGTGGCACGGACCTCCCTTCTGGCCCCAGCACCGAGCTGGCTGCCCCTGAAGACTCCAAGCTGGCAAAATTTAAATCCTCCCTGTTGGGCAGCGCTGCTCTGGAGCTGAGCAATACGATGTCACCGCCACCGGCCAAGAAGCTGGCACTCTCTGCCAAAAAGGTGAGTCTGAGCTTCTTCCCCGAGGCTTCAGTAGGAGCCTTGTGCCTTCTGAACCGGGGCTTGCGTTGGGGGCAAGTGCAGAGCTCATGCTGGGTATCCTGCTAAGCCAGAGGTGGGTGGGGAGAGCCCCTGAGCCCCAGGGCTGTAGCAGTTGCTCTGCCCTCCCTCTGGGTTGGGGTGTGGGGCCAGGCCCCCACTGTTGTTCGCATCCCTGAATGATGCAGGAGAAATGGCTCCCGCCTTCTTGCTCAGGACAGAGGGGTGGCTGTGCCGGTCCCTGCAGCGGGGCAGCCTCACCAGCCTTCTTGGGGCAGTGTGTCCCCTGGGCGAGTGGGAGCAGGCTGGAGGGCTGCGGCGTTGCCTCCTCCCCGGGCAGCGGTGTGTGGGAGCGGCCCTCTGGGTGCCGCTGTGCAGTCAGGGCTCAGGATGGTGCTCCGGGGTTTCTGTTCTTTAAATTTCCTTCCTTCCTTTTTTCCTTTGTGCTTCTAACTGAAAACACTTCTGATTCTTCTTCTACCACCCCCACTTCCCTCCCCCCTTCTGTGTCTGTTCCCCTCCCCTTTCTCTGGGCTCCCCTTTTTATTTTCTCCTCTTGGCTCACGGAAACCTCTTTTCTTTAGACCACCAAGTTTTTATTTATGTCAATAACTGCAGGGCAGCACCCCGCGGAAGGCGAGCGGAAGTGACCGCCACGCACAACCTCACCCACAATTTGCTGACCACACCTACCCCACGAACACCACCCACCCCGACTCCACTCCCTGGCCTTTCGGCAAGTCGAGGTAAGCGGTGCCAGTCGCTCCCAGGCTCCTGCACGGCAGCAAGGCCAGTAGCAGCCTTGGGGTACTCCACGAGGCAACTGTCTGGCACGGCAGCTGGCTCGGGGGGCGATTTTGGCAGCCGGCTCTCCTGTTCTCCTGGGCTGGCAGGGCTTGTTCTGGGCCTCTCTTGTAACCTCCCCCACTGACACGTGCCCCCCCCTCTTTCCTAACCCCCCCAGGGGACAGCGTGTGCCCTGCTTGTGGCTGGCACTGGGCAGGTGCAGGGTCACCCTGTGCAGCTGCTGCTCCGAGAGCAGGGTCTGATTCAGATTTCGTGGCTGAGATGGTAGCGGTTGGGTGCCGTGCTCATGCACCTCAGGGTGGGGAGGAAGAGAGAAGCTCCTGCTCCTGACCCGGTTTTCAGATCATGTCAGCCTCTTTTCCTGTCCTTCAGGCTGTCCTCATCTGCTCTCAAACTGCCAAATCCAGAAAAGCCTGCCTTCAGCTTCATCCTCAACTCAGCCCCTCAGCTCCCAGCCTCCCCCCTGAGCAACGGTTCCACTGCCCACCCTTCGCACCACCTTCCTCCCTGCAGCGGGGAGAAGGGGCCCAGCCAGGGCACCCTGGGTTCCTCCAAAAAGAAGCGGCGAAAGCAGCATCATGGAGCAGACATGGGCAGCCCTCATGTTCCAGCTGTGAAGGGCAAGGATGAAGTCTCCAGCCCCCCCAGGAAGAAGAAGAATCTCACTCAGGAGGGCTCGGTGTCCCTCTTGGGGAAGGAGGCGGCAGGCAAGGGTCCCAGCAGTGGCAGGGAGGCCCAAGGCTGTCAGGAGCTGGAGAGCGGGCCCAAGCAGCAAGTGTCAGACTCCAGTACTTGCCTGGACACAGAGCCCATCTCCCCCGTCAAGAAGAAGAAGAAAAAGAGGAGAATGGAGGAGACGGAAGAGTGCTGCTCTGGGATGCTGTCCTCGGGCAGGTGAGGGACTAGGGGGCACGCGAGAGCCCTGTGCACCTCCGCTCTGCCTGAAGTCAGGCTCCCTGGGCTGCAGTCTGGTGTCTCACGTCTTTCTGCGGGTGGGACGAGCCTTGCCATGGCGCCAGCTGAAGTGCTGGCTTGCTGGGGGTGGTTTCTCCCCTCCCCCAGTGCAGCGC